GTATAAGACATAATTCATAGTAATAACAAAATAGGGAAAGGATAACTCCAGCTACATACAAATCGATAATATGAAAATCAAACCAAAATGGACAAATTGCTGGGGCATACTGAGAGAATGTCAAATGACAGAGAAGTAAAAACAGTGTACACAACGGAGTTGAATGGTCATAGACCATGAGGCAGACCAAGGAGCTCATGGACAGTTGTGTATAAGCAGACCTGCAGAGACAGGAGGTCACCAACTGGAAAAAGAGAACTAATCACAGACATGAATGGGGGCAGGTGATATTTGCAGTAATGAACTTCAATGACTTCTAGAAGAAAAAGAAGAAGCAGAAGAAGAAGAATGCATGATTATCAGAGAAAACTGTTATGTCTGTTTTCTTTCATTTGTTTGCCCTCCAAGCTGCTATCTGGATGGCAAGCCATTAGGGCTAATTCCAGATACACCACTCAACCTAAAAAGAAGTTGTAACTGTGGCACCTTTAGCAGTTACACCAGCCTCGTGTAATCTACATTTCTGGAGTTGAGTAACTTGTGACTGGTGAAGTTTTCATCTAATATACCTAACCAAAGTGAAATCAGAATCTAAAGGATTTGGTAACCAGGTCTTTTTATGCACTTAAGTGAGGCAATGAGGAATACTTCTTCTTCTTCTTCGCACACCGGCTGTAAACTCCAGCAAACAGTTATAGTTGTTCGTCCACTTCTGTACTTTGGTCTTGTTCCAGTACTTACGTTTTGCAAGCACATCCATTTTACACATGTAGCTTATTTATATAAAGACTGTTGGTTCCTTGCCTCTTTAGCAGATCTACTCTGACTTCAGAGGAAACACCTCTAATTAGTCACTTCGTACGACATGCTTGTTAGGGAGGCAGTAGGTCTATTCTTCCTCCCTCCTCAAAACTGAGCCCTAGAACCCATACAGGGAACCAGGAATAACAATTTCTGCCATTTCGTAAGCTATTTTGAATAATAAAAAGTACATGATACAGTGAGTCTAGCTCACAAATGTAAAGGGAGGTTAGGACCTCACTGTCATGTACCAAGGGCACTTCATGGGTAGTTCAGTGTGAATGTTAGCTACCTTCAAGGTAAAAAAAGATAGCAGCAATTAAGACCACCCATGTTGGCTCTACAGATCACTTACAAGGCACAATATGGCTAACAAGCAGGCCATCAGTTAAAGTCTTGGCATGTCATTTGCTTTAGTCATTGTTCACTGTTGCATATTTCCACACATTTAGACAATAAGTACATAGTTCTGTCACCCAAATACAAAGATGAGGGCATGGCTGAACAATGCGAGCTCTGGATTTCATGTGGAATGTTTTTTGACTGTGCCCAAGGTGGCTTGTGTTGAGAACTGCAGATTTAGAAAATGGCGGGTGTTTCAGTGAAACAGAACTAAAGGTGCCTTATGCAATATTGTGTGTTCAGAGCTGCTTTTACCAGTGGTGGGCTGTTCGGTATTTCTAGCAATTGCTTTATGTATTTAATGTATATTTATATTGTTGGCTTTGCCAGAACTACAATCTTGTCAGTTTGTTATAAAGACTTATTGATTTTATGTATGGCTTTTGCAGGCACAAGAATAGAGCAATTATAAGGTGACCCATTTGTGAAGTTGAAACTCCAACTAGCAACTAACTTACAAGACTGACATATGCCCACATCATAAATGATGAATATACAGCCCATTGCAGGATCTAAGTGGTGGTGAAGCCCCGAAAATCTGCACACAATTCTTAGGGGTACATAGTATATGCTCTAAAGTTGATCAATCAACTCTCTCCCACAACCACAGGTTACAAGATGAACAAGGTACTGAAGAGAAAAACAGTAGACCAGAAGGTGCACAGCTACAACCAGTTTGTCATTGCAAAAATACAAATAAAATATGCACTTTTTGCAAAAGTTAGCTATCCTGCTCACTCAGTGGTTAAGCCTAAGGCATCATCAGTGCCAGGCCACATGTCTTAAACAGATTCACACAATGACATTAAAGCTTTCAGATGTCTTGTGGATTCAGAAGGCATGAGAAACGAGTGCCTGGCCAACCAGATGCCAAAATTAATGTATAAGAGAATGTGCTACATCTTTGCACAAAAGCTAAACAGTAACTTATTAGATTCTCCTTATAAACTATTCTAAAGACTCATACAATTTCTACTCTAAGTCATGGTACACTATATATATATAGACAGTAACGTCGTTAAAACCGTTGTAAGCTTTAATGGACGTGTGTGTGTGTGTGTGTATATATATATATATATATATATATATATATATATATATATATACTGTCAGATTTATTATTCCTTCATTCATTTGCCACGTTAAAATGTTATTACCACTGATCTGTGAATATTTTTTTTTTAGTGCAGACTCCTTACTAACATTTAAAAGATAACGTACTTATAAACTATACTGCTGTGTGAATTGTAAAAATTTTGAGTAAGATGGTGATAAAACACTGACCTGACCCCATCCTCAATCTAAAACCATTAAAAACATCAGTTGTTTGTAATCCATTATCTCTTTTTTTTCTTTCTATAAAGTACAGTCATAGAAAATCTTAAGGGAAAAAAAGAATATACTGTGCAAATATAAGGCCAAAAAAAAGGCATTTGGGAAGAAGATAGAAAGGCAGGACTAAAACCAAAAACACTCCTGCTCATATTGTGAAATGAATACAGGTTATATGCAGAGAAACTGAGGTAGTAGATAAGGTTACAGCAAGACATACTATTTTATTTTTATGTTCTCTGTCCTCCAAAGATTATGCTTTAGTACACAGAATTAATTTTAAAAGACAGTAGTTTTGTGATTTGTTTTACTTGATCACCAATAGGTGTGATCCTTCAATGCTTGATATTTATGATTCATTTGTATGAGCTCTTCTGTTCTCAAAAGGGCGGTTGACACAATATGTTGTGGTTTTACACCTAGGCTGTGATATCTACTCCGTAGGATCCAACACATCCGATCTCAGCAACATCTTAGGTGCTGTTTACAATATGCTTGTTAGTTGGGCAGTGGGTCTTTTCCCCCATAAAATAGGGTCCCGAATCTACACAGGTAATTTTTTTTATGAGTACTCTAGAGAAGCTGTCAAAGTGCAGTGGCTTGCATGTTTGCCCACTGACCATACCCCCCTCCCCCCTTCCTAAGTGTGGATATTCAATTTTGACTTCCAGGTCAACCCAGCCTAAACTGGGTAGTAACACTAAATGTTCTGGCCAGCTCGATCTCATCACATCACTTTCTATATGCTAACTCGTGTTTAAATAGATGGAGCTACCAGCATATGTTAAACATGCCTGAAGGCATAGACAATTATTCTTTATTTTATCTGAAGCTCTAGGGTTTACCTAGCCTTTTGAAACTACAGGAACACTTTCAGAATTTTTTTCAAATATTTACAGAAACATTCTGGAATTTAGGTTTTACTCATAAAGAAGCAAAATGGCCTGCTCCGACCTTAATCAAGAGGAAGCTGTATCAAATACAGTTAAATATCAAGTGCATGACAGCTTTTATCAAGGCTATTGGTCTCCTAGACTTTCTGACAGAAAGATTGAACAAGAACAGGTAAGGTGGCAAAGGAAGTGAGCTGATCAACTCACTATGCGACATTCTAGTTTAAAGACGAATATCTCTGATTTACAGAAATTATTTATGTACGACTAGTACTGTAGAAAACTGATCACGTGAGCAATAGTTATCACCCAATTTCTTTGTTTAACAAAATTGTGCCACTTCTACTTTAACTTATAGTATAAGTTATAACTTATAGCATACTTTGGTTCTTTTCTCCAGGCTATGTCGGCGTGGTGGGTAATGAATAGATAGACAGATTAGCTGGATCTGCACCACTAGGTGCTGAATTGATACATGACAAGGCAGATGTAGTCAAGGCCTTTTGGGAACAAGCAAAGGAATCAGTAGAGAAAGAAGATTATTATGGCCTGGAGAGAATGAGGCACCTGGGTGTAACTAGAGTCTAGCAGGCTGACTACACTCAGAGGAAAGGCAAGAAGAACATTAAACCAGAAAGTGACCGGTACCATCAGTACTCGAACTCTGCGCTGGCTGCTGAAGATGAGGACGGAGCATGCACAGGGATGCCCCGAGTGCTGTGCCAAGTGTTGCGATGTCAATTCTTGACTCAACTCAACTCATAGTATGTACTGAAGTAAACTGAGTATGTGAGCAACAACTGTCACACAATCAGACACATCTACTAATGATAATCCTTCCGGTGATGGTGAAAACAGGAAAGCAGCTTCGAGCGCCAGACATCAACATTTCATTAAGTGCACACGAAGTCTGATTATTCATAATTTTCACTTAACGGCCGTGATTAGCAGTTTTAGACGGGTGAAGCTTTTGATGTTTTTGGGTGGTTTACGGATCTATCAGGAGAGCTGTTTTGTTAATCCTTACTAATCACTGCAGAAAATGTTGTATTTGAGCAACAGTTTTCACCCAGATTTCCTTGCGTAATATAAGAAAGTAACATTTACTTATGATGATAAACTGACATAACCACTGATGTTTACGGCAGAAGTCCCATCTTGGACTTGCTCGCAGTGGTAAAAGTAAAATATGTTTTATGAAAACTATAATACATTCTTATTTTTCAAAAGACAGATAACTTTTACTGTTAGTATCTTATCGTCATGGTCATCTAGGTCGGTAAAGTAGTTAATTAAACGATAAACGTTAGAACGGAAAACGTGAACGTGTGATAAATACAGATCAACAGCAACAATAGTCAATAAACGGCGATACTCATGTCGTCTGCTTAACTATTTTTTTTTACCCCGCCAGTCAAAAAACTCAGCTGACTCCATGATTTAGATAACGTAGATTCTGTAGACTTAATGCATTATACAAAATTTATATGATTTGAAAAACAGGAGCAAAATTACTATCAAAACATTTTAAACAGCAAACTTTGGCCTCAACGTGAGAAGGGTCACACTTACTGTAAAATCAGCGTTCCTTGTATCCCGAGTTGAAACAGCGCGTACAAATCCAGGTCGCCATTCCCACTCTGAAATTTTGCTAACTCTATGCTTTCCTTCACTCTTTATGGATAAAAACCGCTTTCCAACAAGTTCTTCTCGTATTTTGTAAGCCATATATCACATAGTAACACCTAGAACAAGCCGAGAATTCAATATTTCATGGTTATCTAACATGAGATCCGGAGAATGCCACTACTCCCGATTACGTCGTGCATGAATACATGACATCTAATAGGTCAAAAGGTCACTTTTCTGTGCACATCCGCAAACTAAAACTAGTCCTTAAAATTGACAAAATATTATATTTTTATTATTTACACGCATAAACCCGTATAACTGGCAATGTAAAATATATAACTGCACATGATAGAACACATAAATAAATTGAAAAAAGCTTTGTAATGCTAATATAAAAATTAATCTTCCTACAAGCTAACGCCTTTTTTTTCCATGAAACAAAATCAGTTGCCGCATTCCGTGACATAAAAATATTGATAAAGTGAGTACTACTGCAGTACAGACACTGCTTATGAAGCAACTTGCTGCACAACGATAAATCGACGAAGAAATGGCAAATACACGAAAGCTGTATGAAAATAATGCTGCGAGAATCTGTTTCTGGAAAATGTACTTTAGTCTGCAGGTCCGCAGGGGGAAAAAAAGAGAACTTTATTTGTTGACCCAATAGCGATGTTTTGGTCACGTGACAGTTGTGACGACATGAACATGGCGGCGGATCACTTTTGGAAAGCTAATAATTTTTGAATTGTGATTCTATTCTTTATTGGACTGTTTGATTTCGGGAGACTTTCCTCTTCTTGTTCGGCTAATGTACAGTCTAATTTATTGGCCATCATAGGTTGTGACTAGAATAAATGGTGTCAGCAATTCTATCCAGACTGGTTGTGTAAGTATGAACGAGAATTGAACCACTATAAAATATATTTGTTTCTGATTTGTGTCTGTCTCATTCGGTTTTAAGGTAGCACCTGACTTCTCGGTGTCATTTTTCCCCTAGTACATTAGGTTCAGTGAATCATTCCGTTAGGCATTATGCTCTCGCTTAACACACACACACACACTCATACAGTAATATTTTCATATAACCTAAGTAAGTCTACTTGTGAACTAAGTGAAAATTATTATCAGGGAAGCTTTGAAGAAATTAAATTTGAATTCCAGTTAAAGTAAGAAAGAAAGTCATCTGAATCATTCAAATGACTTTCTTCATTCAGTGAATGAAGAATGTTGAAATGTTGTTGAAGGGTGACTAGAATATTATAAAGGAATGTCTTTATACTTAAAGGTAAAGTTATACGACTATACTTATACAGTATTTACCAGACCTGAATAGCCAACTTGAACTTGAAGGTACTCAAGTACTGTCTTTCAGCTTTGAGGTCCAAACATTCATACATTGTTTTAACATGATACCATGGCTCACACTGCAAGTTAACAATGTTTTCTATTTTACTGTAAACACAAAATTATGTGTTTTATTTGAAGTAGTATGAGGTTTTCCTTAATCATTTAACATCCACATTGATTTATGCAAGTTCTGCTGCAAAAATACACTATGAGATACAAGTAAAAGTCACATTCCAGATTCAAGACAAGTTATTCTGATTTTAGTCTGTGATGTGGTGTGTTGCTTCTAGCTACTCGTGGTCTTTTATCTTGTATTACACATAACTAAACAGAGGAGGAATTCTTGCGACTGTAGAAACGTTAAATATATAATAAATAAACACTGCCTATTGGTCTGCACTCATAGAAGGAAATATAAAGATAGAATGGTTAGACAACATAAACATTAAAAGCTGTAGTTGTCATGCAGGTAATGACAGCTCTAGCTTTCACTTATGTTATCTGGTGTGACCTTTACTTCATGGGCTGTTATATCCTTTATTTCTTCTCATAACTTGACCAAAAGTGAAGACTGCCTCTTTCTGCTGTTTGTCTTTTTTTTCCTTCTTTGTTCTCTGGCTGTAAGGTCCAGCAAGAGTCTTGTTTATTCATCTGTTTGGACTTAAGTTTTGTGCCAGGGCCTGGGTTTTGTTTGTACATCCATTTTACTGGGGTATTTCATGTTCAGTTGGTTGTTCCTTGCCATGCAGGCAGACGCACTCCGACTTAGACTGCCAATTAGTTAACTTTGATGATGCTTTTTTGGTAGGCAGTGGGTCTGTTCTTGTTTTTCCCAAAAATGCACACAGGAATCTGCTTTTTAAAAAATTAGTTTCCTGGTAAATCCTTACATAATAGGGTGTTATACCACAGCTTGTTGTAAATGATCTGAGTTGAAACTCAGTTCTGAGCATTCATATGTTCTTTCTTCTTTTTGTTCGCCTGACTGACATAATTATGTACTGCCTGTTTACTGCAGTGTTGCAGTATTTGTGCATTTCAGATGACACATCGGACTTTTTGAGCATTTGTTGACCGTTTTAACTTTCCGGATAGTTTAGGTGGGACATAACATAACCTTATTTGGGTGGTGTTCTCTTTGTCTGCCTATCTACAGGTGTTGCACTATAGAACTTATCCAGGGCAACTGCGTGTAGACTGGTCCGCCTTCAGGGAAAGGCAGGGGAACATCATGGGCATTCCTCGCAATTCAAGGAGGCTTCCATAAACGCAGAGTCGACATGACGCTTTAGTCCTCGGCTCACACAGGAAATTGTCACTTTCTGCACATGACTACTTAACCTCACATCCTTATGTTGAGCTTCCCACTCATCACAGACATGCATGCTCTAGAACATGGAGCATTCCGCATGTCTGGGACTTCAATGACCACATAAATAGGTACATTCTTCTACAGCATTTTAGACACCTGCAGTGTTGTTTTATCTAGACACTTAGCACGACAGCATGGAAAAGCATCCATAAGGCATGGTTTCCTCTATTTGGTCCCGACACTCAGGTGGGTGGAGCAATGGTAGTAGACATTTGAACCTTTCTGCCAAACAGTTGGGTTTTTGACTGTCAGACTTTGCTGTTATGCCATAGGACATGTATCTGATAGACATCTGAACCTAAACAGATGATGACAATAGCAAATTGTCATTGTGTACCAATGCAGTGATGAGGACTTTGTATAAAGAAAAAAACTTTACTGTGAAATACCGCCTGCAGGAGATGTTGCTCATCTAAGCTGATTGTGTATCTCCACTGTGTTTTACCAGAATCCACAATTTGTCTTGAAGTACAAGAATTCAGAGTTTAGGCATGTAAATGTGTACTGAAGCCACAGCATGATTATTTGTTCACTTATCTGTTGAGTTCATAGTTTTGCTCTCAGTAGTAGGTAAATTATTTTTCTTAGCTCTAGAGTCAGTCCAGTTTCATACAGTAGATGTCATAGATTTATCTCTATCGTTTAATTAATACTGGCTTTATCTTCAGTTACCAAAGTTGTCAGTGTAGTGGCATCTTCCCATAGAATAATGGGAATTTACTTGTTGTTTGTGTGAATTAAAATAGCATTCTGATAATTTGGACAAATATAAATTTACCTCTTGATGACTTATCTGTGTGATTTCTAGAGCCCTATTGTGTTGAGTTGGGGAGAATAGACCCACTGCCTCAAAAAAAAAAAACAAGCATGTCGTAAGAGTCTACTAATTGGGAGCTTCCTTCAAAGTTGTAGTGCATCTGCCTGAAATGCAAGGAACCAACATTCTGCATTCAAATAGGCTATATCTGTAAAATGCATGTGTATGCAACAGCCAGTTTCTGAAATAAGACTAAAGTCTAGAGATGGACGAACAACCAGAACTTTCTACTGGTGATTTTACAGCCAGTAAACATGAAGCAAAAGAAGAAAATTACTTAGGTAGATACATGCTTTGCTGGGGAAATTATATTTTTTTAATTATCACGTTTAACCAGCGTTCCCAAAGGGGTAGCTTTAGGTTATAATTGTGACTAGGTTATGTGCACAGTATAAAATAGTTTAGCACTGTACGCCACCATGAGCACTGAAAAGGGACTCCTACATTGTTCATACAATCAACTGAGGCAGACCTAAATACTGACCTGACCGACGATAAAGTCATCTGCCGGCAAGCAGATGGGTGACCCCACACTGTCTACAATATAGATTATTTAATACTTTAGAGTTTATATATCATCAAATAACAATGTGTAGTCACCAACTGCAAAGAGAAGGCAAGTCACAGAGGTGAATGGAGGCATAATATCTGCAGCAGTGAACCTCAAGGTTTCAAAATGCTGAAGAAGAAGAACCCATTGTGTATAAATGTGAAATTATTTGTGAGATAATCTGGGAAATAAATATACAACAGATGCAGCAACCCTGTAAAACTGTATTGTCTGCACAGTGGCCATCACACAAATTTAGGACATAATACATGCATACAGCACACAATGATTCTTACATCACTACAGACACTTTGCTCAAGTAACTGGGCGAAGAGAAAACAAATGACCTAGTGTGGTAGATCATCAGAATACCAGTTAGGTAAACTAAAACTGTAGAAGTCGGTCAGTAGTACATAATGTACTAGAAGTTTTAGTTTAGTTTAGTCGACGGATCAACATCATGGCACACGAGTGTAACCCATAAGTGCTTATACTTTTAACTCTAGCCTAAGTTAGAAATATCTTAGCGCAGTGCGCAAACTCCATTGCACCGGCGAGTATCCTGAAATACTTTGGGTAGATTTTTAATTCAAAATTTTGCCTGGGCAGCCCTATCTAACTACTCTTTTTGATTTCTAACTGCCTAGGGATTTTTTACGTGCGCAACAATGCAAACAGGCATCTGATCTTACTACTACCCAGAGACCAGGAAAAGTTACTGAAGTCCATGGGGAAAAAATCCCACCCTTCACCAGGGTTTGAACCAGTGACCTACAGCACTCCAGACGGATGCTAAACTTTGAGACCACGCAGCCCCATAATGTATTAGAAGATGTCAGAATCTGTGGCTTAGGCCTTGCAATGCAGTTTTTATTTTTGAGATATCCAAGTTGGTTTCAGCTGCTGGCAATTTGGTAACAAACCACTTTGCATTCTTTTTAACAATAGTATTTGGGAGCTGGTCTTGGGTTCGCTCCCTGGCAGAGCCTGACTTTTTTTTTTTTTTT